TTCTTCCTCTCCCCCTCTCGCTCTCTTTCTTCCTCTCCCTGCTCCTCATTCGGCTCTCTTGTCCGCTTCTTCGGTGAGCATTTTAGATTGCTCGGTGACTCTGTGGAAATCAGCACTAGACTGACACTTTGACACCAGCATTAATCGGCAGTTTCGAGCTATCAGTAGGCAAACCTTTGATGGAAGCCTTCTCCTAACCTGTTTTGCTCAGCCTTGGAGGGTTTATATAGGCATGTATTGGGTATGCCAGAACAAACACACATTGCTCTCTGTGGGAATGAGGTTGCTCAACCTCTATAAGTTGAAAGTCTGGTTTACAAATGAGGACCCTTTCCTACATTTTTCAGGTGCTTTTAAGCAAACACTGCATGGGCTTTGGTGCCATTACCTCTAAATCACTTTGCGAATAATGCCTAAACCCACTACATGTAGACGATGCAGTATACACACACACACACACTCACACTAACACAATAACTCATACATATGCACAGTGATTAAATATTGATTTTCTTTGTAGCACCATCACCATTGAGTTGTTGCATCATTCTAATTTACGAATGAAACAGCAGACAGACAGATCTTGCATCTCAACTACTGTTTAGAAAGGCTACAGTAGATTTCTTGTGCATGGAGACGATTTGAATGATGTTTGCACAAGAAGAAATTTTGATATGCCACTGAACAAATAAAACGACTACTGCTAATATTATCAAAATAAATGATGTCCCTGTAGCTTACCGTCAGCATTTGCCTGGGTTTCAGGTCTGACTTAACTGCCACTATTCAAAAGCTAAAAATAAATCTAATCTCATTTAATAACCCGTTAGCTATAAGGGAAAATAACAATTTGTGTGCATAACATTTTAAGCCAAAGTGATATTTCAAGACACTGACGGCTGAGGAGTTTTACCCATAAAAATCATACTGGATTTTCAGAGAGAACTGTTGTGACTGTATTTTCCTTCATAAAAACAGCCATAACCATCACTCCACAACTCAAGAAATTGGTGACTTATAAATATAAATTAGTAAATCTTCTGATTAGAGATGTGATTCTTCAGATTAATGCAGCAACAGTGTAAGAAGTGGATGTTTTTTCACTTGGAGGCAGCAGAGTAAACACAACACCAAATTTTTTATACAGTTGTAATGGCACACATGTCAATAAAATGTTTTTGCTTGACACTTTGAGCAGACTGAAAGTCCCATATTCACTGGTATTAGTTTTGTGTCCACTAAGAAATGTCCTGAGAGAAATGCCTGGCTGTTTAGCTGCTGACTGTGCCTGCTGTTTGGTGCAAAACAGGTAGGAAAAGCTGCCTACGGCATCCAGAATTACAGAAGATAAACTATGTACATAAAGAGAAAAGTTGATGGTTTAAAACTAAAAGAGAACCTGGACTGCACAATCCCCTATCAGTTATCTTGCACTTTTTTAAAGAAGGCAATCTAGAGCTGCACCAACATAGGCGAAGTTTTCTTTTTCCAATGCTCCACCACTCTGTAAAGGTGGAGCTGTTATTTTTGGTGTACATATATCTGTAAAAATGTTACTGTGTTTTTGTTCTTTTGACCTTTTTGCTTTGCTGAGACAGATATTTGTCTTCGATGCATTAACGTTACATTATTTGACTCCCCAGAGTTTTTGTGTCTAAGCTGTCGCTCTTTTATTAAAAATAGGTGGCAAGGGGAAATTTAATTTAACTGCACTTCTTTTTGTTGACATGTTCATCAAACTGTCATAGCAATGAAGGTGAAAAATCTCATTTATTCCTTGCTGGGAGCATTGATGGGAGCTCCGCAGAGGTTACAGGCCAGCAGTCCCTTCCCTTTTGTATCACTTCACATCCCTATTTCCTCTTCCTTCCTCCCTCTGCCTGTGTGACTCTCTGCTGCTCTTTGTTTGGCAGTGATTTGACCAAACAAAACCTAACTGGGTATCTCTAAAGCAAGGTGACTGCCAAAGGTGATTTTTCAAGCTGACTGCCAGGACACAATGAGTTTTAGATAGAGAGGCCAAATTTCCATCCCTCCAACTGGCAGTCGTGGATTAAAATAGAACTAGCCTCTGCACTCAGATTTGTCACCCGTGTCATTATCTGCTCCATTATTCCCACAGCCTTAAATGTACTGCCCTGAAAAATAGGATGCAATAGACTTAATGTTGTGTTTGTGTTGCTGGACCTCACATTCTTGGGTACAGTTGTTTCATTAAAGGACTGTGCGATGAAACTGTGCTTGTTTTGGCTCCGAATGGCAGCTGGAAGTAACTTTGATTTAACCCTCTCAGGCTCAAATTAAGTTTTTGTTGCTAATGCACAAAACAATACCTGCAGTGGTACTTCTGAGTAAAAAAAACTCATAAAATATGTATGTGGGGTAATCAGGTTGTTAGCTTTTACTTGTTGCAAATCTGCAACGCCTGCCTTGAGAGGGTTAAATACAATTAAAAAATAGCAAAATGTAAAGCCGCATCAGTAAGCCCTGCACAGCATGTGAATGTTTGCCTAGCATAGCCAATCACATTCCCCTCATACAAAATTATAGAATTCTGAACATGTTTACAGACATCAATCATCATATTTGTCAGTTAATGGCAGTTTGTAATTTACTAATTGAAGTTCCGCTTGTTTCCTGAGCTGAGGAGTGTCCATAGGAGGCTGGAAAGGAACACAGCCTAATTCTGTCCCATAATGGGATTTAATCAGTAATGGCTTTACAAATCAAATTAGTGCAGCTTTTGATTTTAAAATCTACTGACTGGAAAGTCCCCCTCTTTCAGTCTGACATCGATATAAAATGAAGCAATCCTCAGTGGACAACTCAACTATCGATCAAGGTCAGGTTGGAGCTGTATTGTGCCTGAATTTGGACAGATGTTAATTTACAGCTGAACACTTTCAACTTAACAGCTTCAGCATAAGCCTGGCACAGGCAGCGAGGGGGGTTAGAGGATACAGAGGGGATATGAGGCAAATGCAAATGACTTGCCAGATAAGTTAATGTGCCTTTGCCATGGCAAGGGACCCTGATTGCACTGGGTAGGTAAGGCTTCCCTGAGCCAGCCGGAGATATCATTAATCCAAGGTTGACCTGGTATGTCTTTTGCATGGTCCTGCCCATGTAAGTTTATTGTCTAAGAAGAGGCTGTTTAGACAGTTGGAAGGCAGAGGAGACGTTGTGTGCTTTCTAAAATGACCGAGCAGCACTTCCTTTTGAGCGTTTCCCGAAGACAAATTAGCTTGGATCAGCAGCCAGGCAGCTGGCTGATGGAGAGGTGAGATGTATAAGGCCCACGTGGGCATTTTCATCATGACGGCTTTTCTTTCCCTTTTTTTCCCTTTTTTTGGCTTCCTGCTGCAGTGTGTCATTGTGTCCTAGTCTCTCTCATGCTGTATCACTCACCCACACAGATACACACTAACCTTACAGTACAATGCAATAGGCTTGCACTAATCCTTACTTTAGACATGTCCTGGGCAGTTTTGTTTGGATTACTCTCCTCTGGCACCAGTGAGAGATCAGCACACATGAGTCTGAAGTCTTTAAGTAATAAAAGCGCTTTTCTGCTTTAGTCATACAGAACATACAAATGTGGGCTTCATATATATGTGGAAGCTGATTAAGATGTCCTGCATAAACAAAAGGCTGAATACTTGTATGGCTTGGCACTGTCCAGAAACCTTAGCAAACAATCGTAGTGATTGTGTGAATTTACAATGATATGGTTGCCACCGGGTTGACTTGTGATTATACAGAGATTTGCGGGTTTTATAATCCTCCTTAGATCAAATAATAACAAGCAGTGATTCATACAAAAGTGTTCTGTTCTAAATTGACCACTAAAGACTCGGTCCATATGAGTTATCATTTTGCCAGCTAGCAACCACTCTTTCCTTCTGATAGCCCTATAATTGGGGTTTAATTTTTTTCCAATAATGATTTTCTAAGAGCAGGGAGACATGTCCAAATAGATCTTACTCAGCCCAGAGTATCATGAATATTAACAGTGAGTGGATAGGAATGGGACCTCAGAAGTCCTTGCAGTGACTGAGTCAGTGTTTACTGTGGTTCAGATTTGGACTTTATCAGTAAAGAAGTGAAGTACCACAGAAATGCAGGAGTATATATAACCTCAGTCACTGTATGCTACCTGCCCAGCACCAGACAGCTAACAAACACAGTTAGCAGCTAGTTGGAGAAATAGTGGTATACGTGACACCAAACTTTAATTTAAGGTTTCCAAAAACACCTTAAATGTGGAAAAAATTTTCAGTTTACACAACAAACCAAACATTCAAGTGAATGCAATCTTTCCTAGGCGGGTCATGACTAGTTTGCCATCTTAAAGTGGTAGTACTTTTCTGAAAATTATATATGGGCATGTCTTGTTGCCCCAAATCAATTAATGATTCACATAATGTGCGTGTGTGTGTTTGTATGTATGTGTGTAAGTGGCCTTGGTTGTTAGCTGTGCAATGGCATGCCTCCCTTTAGAGTGTTCAGACTGCAGATCATCTTTCGATCTGTTTTTTTTTTCATGCATAAAAATATACATATATAACATATCAATTTATTTGCTCTCATTTAATGTTTAAATAAAAGCCTTGGGGCAGTATCTACAAAGACAGCGTTATGGAAAAACATGTCAGTTCTTTTTTTGTAGAGCTACTGATTGTGAGTTTGGTGACATAATATAAAGTTCCGATCTGCAGATTAGAAAACTCACTCACCCATTCGAGTGGACTGTACTGTAATAGAATAATTTCTAATTCTCAAACTCAGTCAGTGTCACCAGTACTTGTTGCAGCTTGTTATCCTCTACATTTTAAGAGGACTGCCCTCGAAACTTTGTCAAGTGCAGCAAGTTTGTGCAGTTCAAAAAACAAAACAGAAGTGAAGTGCTTGGCCGTGTGCTGTGAACAACAGGGGAATCCATTTCCTTTACAAATGATTGTAATTCTCTGCTCTCCTGCACATTTCTGCCCTTTTTACAGGTTTGGCAGTTCACCAGATAATCACAATCACTGTGTCTCTCATTATGGTTATCGCGGCCTTGATCACAACACTCGTCCTTAAAAACTGGTAGGAAAGATTCCTTTACTTTTTGCTTCACGACACGTCAGCCGCGCACCCCCGTTCCTTTCCAGAAACCCTAATAGATGAACGAAGGTACAAGGTATGATTTTATGTTTGTTTCTTGTCTTTGGTGCGTGTTTTTGTAGCTGTGCGCAGTCTGGAAATGGTCGCCACAATAGCCATCAGCGAAAGATCCACCAGCAAGAAGAAAGCTGCCAAAACCTGACAGACTTCACCCCAGCTCGGGTGCCCAGCAAGGTGGACATATTCACTGCCTACAACGACAGCCTGCAGTGCTCGCACGAGTGCGTTCGGACTGCCGTACCCATCTACACTGATGAGATGATCCAGCAGACGCCTGTCTACAAGACTGCTTATAACGGAAACAGGTACTGAGTGTATGACAGGTGGATGCACGCTTCTCAGTCATTCAGCACTTGGAAATCCACAGTGTGAATGTTATTAGCATGTGGCTTATATTTTATGAAGCTCCATGCTGAGCAGCAAGGCTTGATCGGTTTAAAATAGGTTAAGAAATGTTCCAGTAACTTGTGCTCAGGATTAAGAAGCATTAAGCAGAAACAGATGAGAATAAGAACGTTGAAATGTCAACCACGAATCCTCACATTCGTCTCCAAGCTCGTGTTTTTACCCCGCAGCCACAGTCAGCTTCAGTCGGTATTTTGCTCGAGCAAATCTACACATAAATTGGCGGACTGCTTCCCATCACCTCATCCATCTGCCGCATGCCTCAGCATGTTCAGGCTGCACACACACAAAAAATAACATGTTCTACTGATTTCTATTGGTGTAATGAGTCAGCTGATAGATGTCTTTACTGTGTCGTTTTGTGTCTGTCTCTTCATGGGAGTATTAAACGTTGGCACAAAGGTGTACGCTTTGAACTTCAATACCTGCAAGTTATGTAATATCAGTAAATACACTTTACATGCCCAAGTTTACTGAACATGTAAAGTGTTATATATACAGAGAAACATTAGGCGTGAGATCTGTCTTTGGTGAGTCGTTGGTGCGTTTGCATTCCGCTTTGCGATTTAACCGGACAGGTAGGTTTCACATCGAAATCGCACTTTGCATTGCCACGGCGACAATAAGTTGGTGGAGTATTGACAGTGTTTGCTGTCTGAGTGGATAACATAGTCATCTAAGCCGCAGGGCCAGCAAAGATGGTCACACTTACTCAGTGAATCCAAACCCTGTAACAGATTCATTATGTTGGCAAGGATGGCAGGATAATTCATCTGCTGTAAATAGTCTGCTTTTAAATTACACAGGGATGGTTAGGTTTTTATAGCTTGTTTTTCACAGGTTAACCAACAGCACTGCTAAAAAATCTAGGATTTTTTATTTTATTTTTTTTTGCAGAGCAGCCGTCCAAGGCTGACATAGACCTTCACCCAGTGCAGGTCTCTGTCATCCCGTTTGTGTACGTGACAGTGGTACCGTGTTGATTTTGGCACTTAAGGCTACCAAGAGACATAATTAGCCTTTGTAAAGTGTGCAGCATAAAAAAAAGAAGTCTTATGGAAAAGACATTGCTCACCAATGATAATTTTAGAATCAATTATAGGAGGTTTACTATCAACTAATATGTTGTGATGGTATCTAATATAAAAATGTAACCAGTCTGATTACATCATTTATATTCACAAGTTAACTTCTTGCAGTGTGACTCTGACTTCTTGCGTTTTGCCTAACAGGCCCTCACCAACTGAAAGACAACTGATTCCTGTGGCCTTTGTGTCAGAGAAGTGGTTTGAGATCTCATGTTGACGAGCTGAAGGCCTTGTTCATGTTCTGTGGGTGGAAGAGACTTCATGAATTCACGCTTTGGTGGGTACCGCAGCACTTCATCCCCTTGCAAATAATCATCTGAGCCTTCGATCCCCATGGTGATGCTGCCCCACTTTGGGAATAAAAGGGAACTTGGCATATGTTTGTTATTTGTGACATGATTATGCTCCCTTTCCATCTTGTTCCCTTTTGATATAAAAAAAAAAAAAACAGGAGGAATCCGGTTCAATGCAGTAGCCGGGGTCTTTAGCAGAGATAAGAGACTAATTATGTGAATATCAGTACTATGGTCACTGTTAATTATTTCTCCTCTCACATCTGAAACATTTTCATTGATATTTTTGGTGCCGCTTTCATTCTTACACCAAAAGTGCATTGTTTGGCTCATTTCAAGGAGTAAGGGGCACTTTTGCTTGACTTGTGACACATTTTTATGCGTGGCTAAAATATGCCAGAATGGGCCTGCATTTGAAATTCAAAGCGTGACCGTTAAACACATGGTCTAGCCCCACAGTGTTGCTGGAAGGTCAAGAAGCGGGGTAATGTTTGCTATTGACCCAGATTTTTAAGAGGAATAGATTGCCAGCAGGTAACACAGAGAGGCAGGGACAGGGACCCTGGGTTGTCTGGACACACATTAGTCTCAGTCAGCTTAGCTTTCCACAGCCTGCTCCCTGTGCTGGAGTCCTAAAAGACATAAGATCCCTTTTTATCTTTGCAAATCTTGTGTATTTTTTAGGCTTAAGTGTATGCAACAATAGACCTTAACTGTACTGATTTTTTATACAACACTGCCCTTTCATATCATTTAAAAAAGGCACGGGAGTCACATGTTTTTTGAGACAAACCCATATTCTCCCTACAATAAGTCAGAAGAAGGCTAGCTTTAACAATTTCATGTGTGTGTGTTTAATTTTGCACTGGCAACATAATGAGAAGTAACTGGGGTTGTTCTCTGCATCTCCACAGGATCCAGTTGGAAACAAGAAACACAAAAAAACAGCTTCTTTTGTAAAATAGCGTGATCTTTGGACACTGGTGAAGATATTTATTTTTCTAGAGTTGACAAGCAGCAGCCATAACGCTGCGAAAACCATATTTCCAAGAACCTACGGTCATTTAGATATAGATTATATATAAATATATTTACAGGATGTATGGAACTAGACTGTGGACGTCGCGGATGTCTCAAGGAAAACATTAGCCCTATCACAGAGGAACTCAAGGAGCTTCTTCGGGAGGAAGATGAACTGTATTTCTGAACAATGTGCCAATAATGCCACTATGTGCCACAACCTGGATGGACAGAAGTTTCAACAACGACTGATGGACTAAAAAACAAGCCAACAAAAAAAAAGAGCGTTATATTAACCCTGTATCAACTGCAGTTACATTTTTTTCTTTTGGTTTTTGGTTTTTAAAGAAATATGAAAGTACAAAAAAATGCTAAATGTATTTGAATATGTTATGAAATAGTTTTAAGAAATGTGTTGCAAAAGAGTCTAAAAGATATTTATATGAAGCACTATTCTATTAGCTGGGGAAGAGAGATGATGGAAAATGGTATATGCTTTATTGGACGGTTAAAAAGAAGAAAAAAAGTTGTTTCTACCGGTCCCATTTTAAAATCAGAATAGTCGTGTCTATTTTTTTACACACAAGAGTCTGCCACAGCCCTAACGGGGGAAGTCAGAAGCGCTTGGAACCACTTTTTAAATACTCCCACCTAAGCTGAGGTAATATCAAAGACAACCATCTGAACACATCTGGTCCAAGCCAGTCCAGCGCCCACCTCGACTGCTTATTATGTAAGATTTGCATCTGATTTAGGAAAATGGAAAAATACACAAAAGGCTTCTGTGGCGCAGGCGTGTGTCCTCGTTAGATCCCACAGCGGCACATTCACGAGTGAGTACAGCCACAGACTGCATGGAGCTTGACAGGACATTCATACTGCCTCAGGTCTGTCTAGCTTTCTCGCACACCTCGTATCAGTCTCTTGTCTCAGCAGCTGTCTGGGATAAATCTAACGGTTTCGATTTTGATCCGAGCTCCAAATTAAAGGGTAGAAGAGATTTAATCTGAACCTCCTGTGTTCAAATAAATTGTGGACATTTGCATAAACAGCAAAGTTGAAAAATGGATAGTAATTGAACATCCCCACCCAACTCCCAACTCTCGACCGGTTTGACAAATTAGTTGTTGAGCCTATAACACTTAAATTATAGGCGAAAGTCTATTTAATTCCATCCTCAACCGATTTCTTGAAGGTGGAATTAAACAGAAGAAATGGGAAGCTAAAAATGTGGTGTCCCTCAGGATCAAAATAATCTGCATGGTTTGTTTAACTGTGGAATGTAAGCAGGAAGGAATCCCCCATCAAACACAGTAGGTTTTTTAAGGGTTCGCTCTCTCCAGACCCAAATAAACACTTGAGGACAATGTTTAAATCATTCAGTAGTTCAGTTATCACAGCCAGGATGTTTGGGGTTACTCTCGGATAATTTGTTTTAATTTGTGCCGTAGAAAGCTGAGCAAAAAGGGGGGGGAAAGGACAGAATTGAAAGGAAAAAATTCTATTTTGTACTTTCAAAGGCCTAAAAACACTCCCTCTGTGTTTTGTTGTAGTAAGGGGATTAAGACAAACCAATCTGCTGCTGCCAAATTGGTTTAAACTTCTGGTGAGGAAGGACAGTAAAGCTCTCCTGAGAGCTTCCTAGCACCAATACTTTTTATTATCATCTTCAAGCTCCTGAAACAGATTAGCTTTGTGCTACGAAGCTTTCGAGAAAGTTGTCTGTTAATCTACCTTTTTATTTTGCTGTGGGTTTGTACAAAGCACAACTACAATTCTGCAATTGTAAATGTTTATGGCTATAGACAGCAATATGTACAGATATAAATGATGGGTTTTACTGGGTATAGACAGTCAATCTCCAGTACTTCACTTGGTAGGTTTTCGGACTTGTACTCACTTCCTTAAAGGATTCAAGACAACAGGTTGTCCCAGTGATCAGTATCGGTACGTGGGAGCCATTCAGGAGGTGTCGAGATGGCTTGGGATAAACACTGTGGTGCAAAACTCCTGCTCTGGCCAATTCACAACATGAAACTCATCTCATGAATGACACATACCAGTGCAGCCTCACGACAGGCTGCGTTGCTTCTTTGACATAACATATATTTTTTTGAATGAACAGTGATATCTTACTAGTAAGAGGGTTATGAAACTTGCTGTATATTATACACGTGTAAATGTATTTTCTATATATTTGCTTCTATTTGTGTACAGGTGTGTTCTATTTTTCAAGACCTCTCCCATTTTTTGGGAAGGTTTCAGCTAGGTCGGGGATAGTGTCTTTGTTTACATGTGTAACTACGGTATTTCTTTCAAAACACAAAAACTAACCTTGTGCCAAGCTTCTTACCTGCACTTTCAAGCAGTTACTTGTATTATATCTTTAGCTAACCAGTATAATACTTCAGTAGACGCTGCAATAGCTCAGAGACTGAAGAGTGATTTCCAAGTGGAAAGTAAAAAGAGTACCGAGTGGTTTTAAACGGTGTTGTGATCATATCTTGGGTTCAGCTGTATCCATGGTTGGCTGGGAAACCAATGACTTGCTCTTCTTAACTATCATTTCTGCATCGATTTTAATAGACAGTGTATCATCACATGAATTTAAAACAAAAAAACAAACTGTTAATCCAACAGTAGCTGCCAAGAAACTAACTAAACTTGATCTAGACTGGATTGCAATCATTTGTCACCATCCTCATTTTGTATTTGTATATACATACTGCTACAACTGCCCCAGAAAATGTTATTTATGACTCTGAAAATAAACCAATATCAGCATTTATTCAGCATATGAAAAAATCAGGGAAAGACATCTAAAGGAAAACGTTTGAAAGGAGAATCGTTCGTGAAGTACACTGTCGGTATTTTCCTTTTTGATGTGACTGCTAAATAGTCAGGGTTAAAAATACAAAAAGCCAACTTTAGCGTTGATAGGCAACGTTTTCATTTTCAAACTTTTTCAGTAATCCTGTTTTTATTGCAGCTTTGGCCTTCAGCTATAATCCCGGCATGGCTATGGCAGTGTTGGTTTCAGTCAGTATGCTAGGTGTACCTAGCATGCTAACACGCTGAACTAGGCCAGTGAATATGACAAACCTTACACCTGCTCAACATTAGCATGTTAGCACTGTCTGTTTACGCGCTGATGTTTTAGCTGAAATCACAGCTGCTGTGCTTCAGTGCGGCCTCACAGGGCTGCTAGTTTGGTTGCAAATTCTTCTGCTTCTTTAGCTTTGGCCAAAATTTCTGCTGTTTATAATGACAATGTACTAAACAAGTAATTTGCCAAAAACTGTGGGAGCGCAGTCATTTTGCCTAATCAAGCCAAGTTATCAAATCAGTTCAAACTCCAATTGTACAGAGAAAACCTCAATAATCAGACGGCCCCATTGAGCAAGCGCTTGGCAACAGTGGGAAGGAAAAACTCCCTGTTAACAGGAAGACCCCTCCAACAGAACCTCAGGGAGAGGCGCCCATCTGCCTCTCCCTGAGCCCAAATGAGGCGTGAGGGGAGGGAGCCAACAACAACAGGACAATGAACTTTCAAAGTGGAAAGTTTGTGAGATCATTTTATAATTTGCCCATTTCTTTCTCTTTTAAATGGCTGCCTGATGTAAACAATTTCCCAGTCACTCTGTTGAATACAGTATATTAATATTACTGAATGCAGTGATGGCCAAAACTATGTAAAAAGATCCCCCCCTTAATTTCAAGCTGTGCTAAAGTTGACTGTCGTTTTAAGATTACATTCTACCTATAAGAGACCTACACAGAAATTTGAACAACTTCTATTTTAGTCTCACAACTTTAAAACATTTGGCTGATTGACATTTGATGTAAACCGTTTCATCTGTTAACAACACCATATCTGATGATTGTGGAATATCAATGCAACTAGCTAAAATTTGCTGAAAATGTCAGCTGAGATTATACCGATATTGTGGGAAAGACTCTGGATTCCTTGGAATATACTAAATGCTATAATTGAACAACAGGAAACTTTGACTTTCTGAAGTTCTTTGTGTTTTAACACTTTGGGGGAAAAAGTTTTTGAGCTTTTTTTTCTTTTCAGGCATTAGGCGTGTTTCGGGCAGATCTATAAGGACTTGAAAAGCTTGATTTTAATGTTAGTGTTTCTCTTTGAAATCATGAGGAGCTGCTAAAAGGAATTCTCTTTGCATTCCTGAAGGACATTTAGACAAAGAAAAATGTAACCAGCAGCTGTGATCTATATTTTAAACAGTCGCGGATGTCTGGAGACATCAGCATACAGCACGCTTCCCCCTTTTACCGCTGTCTGAAATCAAACTGATGCGTAAGGAAGCATCTTACTGCTTTCTTGCCTTTTCAGTTTACATTTAAGTATAGCAGATGAGTTTAGTTTATTGTAGCTAAGAGGTAGGAAAGTAATTCCACTCGGCCCAGTCAGATTTGATTGAAGAAATATTGTGTTGTTGTGTTAGGTGTGGGGGTGGGGGTTACTCGACATGCCTTTTTTTTCACGGCAAATTAATATTTTGCGGTTCTCGTTTCTGTTTCTTCAGCAGCCCATAAAACCTGTGCTCTCCTCGACATAAACAAGCTATCAATCAGCGAGGCTTTTCCTGTCAAGATGAACGATGTGCCACATTTACAGAGACTGTGATTCCTCTTTGCATGTCAGATACTCAGAGTGGAAGTTATTGACATGTGTTTTGTTTGAATGACATGCTAGCTGAAGGACAAAGTTGTTTTCTTTCCACATATTAATGGAAGCATTCATACCAGAGGAACGGTCAGAGGAATCAGTGTATTGGCTATATTGTGGACTTATTAGCACACTGTGTGATAACAAAAATATCTCGTGGACGCTTTATCAATGAAAACAAAAAGAGACGTTAAATTAGAAGGTGAGAGGACAAACTGAGAG